TTGTTTTTTTACGGGGATTAGCCCACCCGGGCATAGGTCACTGACCCACATTGGGGCCTGAGGGGCAAAAATTTAATACTCCTGTAATAATAATAATAATAATAATAATAATCAAGATTAAAAAAAAAAAAAAGCTGCCTATCTACCTATTGGACAAACTAAAATCGTTCCGGACCACGGGAGTTGCCGGACCACATAATGCCAGACTAGAGAGGTACAACCTGTAATCATTTTGAGTACATGTACAGTACAGCTTTGCCATTAGGACAGTGTGTGCATGTAAATAAGTAAAAATAAATTAATAAAGTTACATATATTGAGCCAAAAATATTAGTTGAAAAACTTTATGGATGGCTAAATTTTAAAATGACCAATAATCTTCATATAAAAAATGCAAAAATATTCAAGAACACAACTTTCTTGATATTTACTCCACTGGAAATGAATGTAAACATAGAACCGATTACTGTATTTGCGGACTAGCCGATCAGCTGATCTGTTAATATGCACAACAAAGCGGGTTTCTCCTAAGGCTTCCATTAATCGAAGTTTTGTTCGTTAATGGAACTGAAAATCCTTATGGGGCTAAGTTGTTAACCGAAATTTCATTAATTGAACCGTTCGTTAATCAAGGGACCACTGTATTCTCATTTTTCGCTCACTAGGCCCCGTTGTGGGTCGTTCGACCTGTGCCTGGGTGGACTAATTCTCCGTAAAAAACAAAAACAAAACTTGAGTGGATGATACAACGGTTTGCAGGCACTGATTTCAAAGAAAGCTACCAAAGCTGACTATGTGCCATGCTGTGCTTATTCCCTGAATCTTGTCAGGTGCTCAGTAACAGAATGTGTAACTGCCACTGTAATTTTTCGACTTATTTGAGAATTTTTATAAATTTTTTAGTGCATCGATACACAGATGGGCAATATTTTGGAATCGCCTGGAAGGTGAGCCTGTTGTGAAACATGTCAGTGAAACAAGGTGGTTTGCACATTCTAGAGCAGACACCGCGCTGCACAAGAGCTACAGTGGCATATTCACTGCTGTAGAAACCATTGCTAATAATCAGAAGGAGAAGCAGTGAACTCGTAGCAAAGCTTCGGAATTGGTGTGGGAGTTGAAGCTCCTCGAAACAGGAATTGCTACAGTTTTGTATGCATGTACTCCAACGATTCCACCTCACATCAAGGAAGCAGTAAAGTCCAAAATTGGATCTTAACACAGTTGTTGAACTCTTTGCGACAATGTGACGACACATTTCATAATGAGGTGGTATTTCAGGAATTGTTTGCTGATTGTGGTAATTACATCCCTGGTGATCGAAAGCACAAACGCAGTATCCACATCACTCAGCACGCAGGCTCAGCAAAAAAGACAATTCTCAGCGAGTGAGAATTTTCAAGTCACTGTTGCAACACTAATTGTGGGCCATCTATAGTCAGTGCTGACAAGATGAGCCAAGGCCTACAGCAATGTGTGCAAAATGTTCAGATTCCTCACAAAGTTGTTGTAGGAAAATGTGGGTTCCAATGTGAAGAAGGCAGCAGATGCTCTGGTTGCTACAGACAATGATTTGGAGCCAGCTTTGTATGGACAGATTTTACAATTTGTCAGCTACTTCAACATCTCAAGCTGCAGTTCAGCAGGAGGAGGAGAGCCGCAATGTCAATAAAGAGATGCACAGAATTTTAAAGATTCACAAGTTGGATGAAGTATTTCCCACCGTGCAGGTTATATTGCAAATTTATCTGTCAATGATGGTGTCAAATGCCACTGGAGAGCGCTCATTCTCCACCTTAAAGCGGATCAAGAATTATCTCTGGTCAACAATGGGGGACAATAAATTGAATCATATGTGATCTCTGTATTCATCAAGAGGAAACAAAGAAAACAATTAAAGGGAAGCTAAAGCGACACAGCGAGACTGTGAGTACCACTTGAACATTTAGAAAATAGCTCATGCATTGTTCAGATGATAAATATGTCATTAATTGCTCCATAGTGTTCAAAACAATTATAATTTTGGTTAAAACAGCAAAATTCCATGTTATAAAACAAACTTCTATAAAGTTCTATTACCATATGCGAATATAAAGTAATCTTTATAAATTTTACTTTATTATGCATTTAGAGAAAATAATGTGAGCATCATTATTTTTGTGTTAGCTTCAACAGACCTCAATTGTAAATCAGCCTCAGGCCCTTGGTTGGATTGTAATATGTTTAAGAGTTGTGTAAATCAATGCAAGGTGATGAGATGGTAGCAGCAATGGTGTTTGGCCACTGCTCCACACCCAGCCTAGGATGGACGCTAAAGAACGTCAATTGGCAAGTTGCGGGCAAATTATAATTATCAGTTTGCGCGCGGTTGGTTACGTGTCAAAAATTACAAGGGAAGTTGGATTACTATGAGACTTTGGCTAACCTGCCGAGAAGAGTCTGAGAACTTGGGAAACCAGCCGTGGTGAGTATTATTGATGGTTTGCTGTCAATACCCTGTATTAAAATGACTAATTTTGGGTGTGCAAACAAAACATATTTGAACTCCTAATTCACATAAAATACATAATTTTAGGCAGAGGAGATCATGACTGACAGGCGAGAAGAACTACATCCCTCCCCTGAACCCTCCTCCCCACCGGAATATCAACAAGTTCTCGCCAGAAGTTACAATTTCATTTAGGAAAGGAACGGAACCAGTGTTAAACAGAGGTTAAACAGAGGTGAACAGTGGTGAACAGTGCTTAAGTCAGTGAGAAAAACTCAACAGTAACAGTCGTACCCAAGTTAACCTTCACACAGTGAGATCCCAGGTACCCAGTGATAACGGCCCGTGAGACCCAACAACAACCAGCGATGTGTTAATCCGTCTACGATAGGAAGGCCTAAGACCAAACCTCACTCATATAACACCATCTGTGAGGGAATTACTACACCACATGTCCCTCATAACACCATATGTGAGGGAATTACTACACCACGTCAAGTCCCACATCACACCATCTGTGAGGGAATTACTACACCACGTGAGGTCCCTCATAACACCATCTGTGAGGGAATTACTACACCACGTCAGGCCCCTCATAACACCATCTGTGAGGGAAATACTACACCACGTGATGCCCCTCATAACACCATCTGTGAGGGAGTTACTACACCACGTGAGGCCCCTCATAACACCATCTGTGAGGTAATTACTACACCACGTGAGGTCCCTCATAACACCATCTGTGAGGTAATTACTACACCACGTGAGGTCCCTCATAACACCATCTGTGAGGGAATTACGACACTACGTGAGGCCCCTCATAACACCATCTGCGAGGGAATTACTACACCATGCCAGGTCCCTCATAACACCATCTGAGGGAACTACTACACCAAGTGAGTTCCTCCTAACACCATGTGGGAGGGAGTTACTACACTACGAGTTTGCTGTTCAACACCTACATTAATCTGTATGTTCACTGTATGTTCCTTTACCTTTCTCTTATGAAGGCTTTTGTTAAACCACCAATGTATGTAATAAGTCATTTATGTCCAATGTGTATTTTCAGCCTTCGGGCTGCGGAATTTTTTCAATAAACCGTTAATTATTATTATTAGTATTATTATTGAATGGGCTATTGAGATTCTGTATGACTTGTGTTGGTTGGCAAATATTAAAAATAAATGTGATTTCCACCATCATATTCAATATTTCTCCTCATATCAAAGCTATTATATCTAATTGCCATTGTTTAAATCCTGAACAACCTGAAAAAATTATAAGTATGGAAATGTATGGCACATTATACAGTAATAATGATAATATAAGAGTCCTCAATCCATTACTCTTTCAAGCACGTAAACCTAAGAAAATATAGTGAAAAACTTGCATCCTTCCTTCATTTCATGAATTTCACCTGCTGTCTTCAGTCCCCCTCTCCACTCCCTGTGACTTACAGTGTAGAAAAGTTAGGTGGGGGAGTTGATGATTACTTTTGCCTAGGAGTTGTGAGTTTGTTTCAGCCCTAATTTGTCTTACTGTGTAGGCCATTATTCTACATTTGAGATAATATTCCTTATGTTTTTTGGCTTGTTTTTTCAGTATTTTATATTAGTTTTGCAAATGCAATTGAATTTTGTATCATGAATAGATAAACATATGGGAAAAATAGGGGTCAGAAATCTTAAAGAACACTGTATAGTAAAGAATCTACAAATCTTTAACTGTAAATTACAATACTATCAAATATTTTCAATTCCTACATATTCCCTTACCACTTCCTGACCTCTCTCGGGGAAAAAAAAAAAAAAAGAAAAAAAATTCAACTTTTCACCAGCTGTTGGCCACCCTGTTAGAAAAAGATAAGAGTTATTACATAATACAATACCCTGTACAGTATTAGCTAAAATCGTACATAATCATTGGAGAAAGAAAAAAGCCAACTTACCATAAATGTAAGTATGACTATGAAGCAGATGCCTATGGTGATCGCAAAGGGTACCAAGTAGTTTTGTAGGTTGAAGGGATAGTCATCAGTTATCTCCAAAGTGAACCTACAGGGAATATGCAATACAATCAGTGCTGCTGTACTCAACAGTTTTAGGTTGACCTGATTAAAATGTGGTAACAATGGAAGTCTATAAATACAATAAAACTATAATACAATAAATGAAGTTGTTCAAGGTGTGTCTCGAACAAGGATGCAATCATGACAAATCTCCATTTTTTCAATGATTCTCCATACACATGATTCCCTTCTGACCATCATCTGTTAATTCTACTGATTCTATAAGAAATACAACAGGAAGAGGCTTTATAGGTCAAGTACACTTACTGCACCTGATATTAATGTGGGGATCAATCAAATTATACACTACACTACATTACTATCTATCTATACTTATATACCAGGAGTGGTCAATTATTTTTGCTAGCAGGCCACATAACATATTCTTGTCATATATTTGTATATCAAGGAAATAAAAACATACATCATTGATATCAGTTAACCCCTACGCCCATGGCTAGGGTGGCGACGGCCATACCCCCCAAGCAGGGGTAAAACAAGAAAAATCAACTTTTCCCAAAAATATTTTTTTACCTTTATAATTGATAAAACAATAAAAAAGATGTAAGAAAAACTATATTTTGTCCCTCTAGAAACTTCTGTGGCGCCTCAGTGACGAGACAAAAAAGGGGAATGTTTTTTTTTACGTCGAGCGCTCGCTGTCACTACGCACTTGGGGTCATTTTCCCGCTTGCCTTTGTGTCCGTGGTGGCCAGTAATACATATATTTACTGATGATAATACTTATTTCCTATAAATAATTCATTTAAAATAAAAATTTTTGCAATATTTTTCATAAAAGGTGCTTGGCAACACACAGCAGTCTGTCGCCAGCTGTCTGCCTATCTTCATGTTTGGTTGAGCAAGTAATGCATAAAATAATAATAATTCCACAAATACAGTCATGTGCCGGTTAACGTCCGTCCGAACAACGTCCGATCGCATATACGTCCGTGGCCCATTTAAATAATATGGGAAAAAAAAACATTCAGACAACGGGACATAGCGGACGTAAGTGGCCTTAGAGCAGGCGCGGTCACGCATGCATCACGTGTTCTTATAGATTGTGCTCCTCTCGGAGCAGCCAGGTCAACTGTTAAGTTGGCCCATACCAACCCCTTCCCCTGAACCCTCCTCCCCACCGGAATATCAACAAGTTCTCGCCAGAAGTTACAATTTCATTTAGGAAAGGAACGGAACCAGTGTTAAACAGAGGTGAACAGTGGTGAACAGTGCTTAAGTCAGTGAGAACAACTCAACAGTAACAGTCGTACCCAAGTTAACCTTCACACAGTGAGGTCCCAGGTACCCAGTGATAACGGCCCGTGAGACCCAACAACAACCAGCGATGTGTTAATCCGTCTACGATAGGAAGGCCTGGGACCAAACCTCACTCATATAACACCATCTGTGAAGGAATTACTACACCACGTGAGGCCCCCTCATAACACCATCTGTGAGGGAATTACTACACCACGTCAGGTCCCTCATAACACCATCTGTGAGGGAATTACTGTACTACACCACCTCAGGTCCCTAATAACACCATCTGTGAGGGAATTACTACACCACATGAGGACCCTCATAACACCATCTGTGAGGTAATTACACCATGTGAGGTCCCCCATAACACCAACTATGAGGGAATTACTACACCACGTGGTCCCTCATAACACCATCTGCGAGGGAATTACTACACCACGTCAGGTCCCTCATAACACCATCTGAGGGAACTACTACATCACGTGAGGTCCTCCTAACACCATCTGGGAGGGAGTTACTACACTACGTGTTTGCTGTTCAACACGTACAATCCTACATTAATCTGTATGTTCACTGTATGTTCCTTTACCTTTCTCTAATGAAGGCTTTTGTTAAACCACCAATGTATGTAATAAGTCATTTATGTCCAATGTATATTTTCAACCTTCGGGCTGCAGAACTTTTTCAATAAACCGTTAATTATTATTATTATTATTATTATTATTATTACAGTAACTATATATCCATAATATGTTTTGATAGATATAAGAAATGCCTATTTTACTGGTTTATGTTTTTTGGCTATTGTAGTGTACAGTACAGTACTTTTAATTTGATTTCCTTACTTACAAAATAAAAAGTTTACAAACTGTATAACAGTGTATGCTTGGTTTTGCACCGACGAGGCAATATTGAACAGTACAAGTACACTGCAATACTCCACATACACGTAAGTATAAATACAAAGTTCACAATGTGATGTTCGGACAACGTCCAATTCGGTTAACGTCACGTTTCCAAGAACGTATCTAGGACGTAAAGCGGCGCATGACTGTAAATACATTTATAACATAATCATAGTATTATTTTCCAATAATACTACATTACAACAGAACTACACTACTTTCAGCAATATTACTTTGATACAACATGGTAAAATGGACAAACAATGAAAATGAAACAAACAAAAGTAGGTATTTACATTCAGGAAGCTTCCCTATGGCCGAGGTGTAGCGTGACAGGCAAATAGTCACACAGGAACCTGATAAATTGCGCTGGGCATTTAAACAGTGGCGGGAAAAGGCGCGCGTTCTGGAACGTCACCCGGGGCGTAAGGGTTAATGACAATGTAAAAAGCTCACTCTATGGAAGGAATAGGAACAACTGACATACACTTGTTGCATGATATAATGAAGTTAAATTAAATTAAATCAATTGTCTAAATGAATAAAAATTAATATTTAGCAGATATTTGTTCTGTCATGATTGTTTATAAGACCATAGCTTACAGCCCAGAGAATTACAACACATATAGCAGGGAGCACTGTACATGCCTCGTGGTACCCCCACTTACCAAGTTGACACACCCTGGGTCAGGACCCAAGGGACCTGACCCCGGCCACTAAGTACTTGACGAGGGACATGACCTACAACCACACCTTGGTAGAGGTCAATCACCGTCAAGTTCTCCTCCATATAAAGGGCCTGCAGTCCCGTCCACGGTCCTCTTTGCTCATTCGTCATCGGGCGATTCTAGCTACGTCAGTCATTCCCAATTCATATTCAGACAACTTTCACAACACTATCGACGGAAGACGGAGTCGCTCGTCACTAGTCGAGGTGGGGAGGGAGACTTCCCTCCCCAGCCTCGCGTCACCAGCTAAGCAGAGTCTCCCATAGGAGACAGTCCAGAAGCACCTGCTGGGCCTCCCACAGGTCACACGTGAGTCTTTGTCAGAGCTATCCATAGGGTGAGTTACTTACGTTGGAAGTGTATTCATTTCATGTTTGTGTCCGAGAGTCAGTGTCTAGTAACGTAAATATGATGTTCGGGTAATGTGTCCATGCCACGTATGTGCTAGTAACTTCGATATAATGTTCTATTAATGTGCCTGTTTCATTGAGTGAATAATAAATAGCAGTATTGAAAGCGGTGTTTACAAGATGTCCTTTAAGAACGTGATATAAGTGTAAATAACTAACCGGCCACGCTACCAAACTTCCTCTCTTTACATCCCCTACTACTATCTATACTTTCTACCTTTTAAAACCTCTCATTACAGTTCCATATTTGATGAATACACCAATTCCCCCATGAATGTCATTTCAGTCAACGTCGTTTCATTATAATGTGCACCTTAGACGATCCCAACTCTATCTCTCCTACTCCTGCTCCTCCTACTGAACCTAAGCACTTTCCTATAATCTTCACTCGTAGGGTTGCTGGTGTGTTATGCAGGTTGGATGTGAGGAAGGCGCATGGACTGGACGGAATACTCCCTAGTGTTTAGAGGGAGTGTGCTGAAGCTCTGCCCCCTGTGCTTGCTGCCTCCTTTGCCTCAAAACCCAAACTTTTCCTTCTTCTTGGAAGCATGCCTTGGTTCAGCCCATCCCGAAGAAGGGTGACCATTCTAATCCCTATAACTATCTCCCCTTTGCCCTAACTTCATCCCTCTCTAAGATTTACGAAACTATCTTAAACTCTCATTTTCTCCATCACCTTGAATGCTTTTCTCTTTTATCGGATCACCAGTATGGCTTTCGCCCGGTAAGATCTACTGGTGACCTGCTGTCCCACTGCACCCATCTTTGGTCATCCTCTCTTAGGGATTATGGGGAAACTTTCGCCGTGGCCCTCGACATCTTCAAAGCATTTGACAGGGTATGGCACAAGTCCTTGCTTTCTAAACTTCCCTCTTATGGTTTCTCTCCCCCACTTTGTTCCCTAATTTCTAGCTTCATTGAGAACCGATCCATGGCAGTTGTTGTTGAGGGATCGACCTCTCGCTCTTTCTCTACCAATAGTGGTGTACCACAGGGCTCTGTTCTTTCACCTACTATCTCCCTTCTTTTTATCAATGATTTACTTCACACTATGACTAATTCTATCCGTTCTTATGCTGATGATTCTACTCTTCACTCTTCTTCACATTTTTCAATGCAAATCTGTGCAGCATCTCCAAATGGAGAAGTAGAAACTTGGTTAAATTCAACAGTAATAAAACTCAGTATTTACCTATTACACTTTCCAAATTAGATGATCTCCCACCAATCACATTTCAGGACGCAATCATTCTGCCAAGTTCTAAAATAGATTTGCTAGGTCTCACCCATTTCCTCTAATATGTCAAGGAAGCCACACATCCACAACACTGCTAAAGCTGCCTCCTGAAAGCTGGGAATGTTGCACAGATGCCATAGCTAAATCACTCCTGAGCAGTTTATAAGGGATTTATTCATCCTAACTTGGAGTACAGCTCTCATATTTGGGGTAGCTCTTCTTCTGTCCAACTGTTTGATAGGGTGCAATCAAGGGTATTTCATCTTGTTGACTATCCTCCTTTAGTTGATTATCTTTCTTACCTTTCTCTTCACTGCAAAGTTTCTTCACTCTCTCTCTTTTACAGGTACTGTAACGGGCAATGTTCGGTGGAATTGGCATCCTGTGTACCGCCGGCAAGGCCAGGGGGTCATAGCATTCGTCTTGCCCGAGGTGCCCACAGT